TCCTCTTCCTTTTTTTTTTTTTTTTTTTTTTTTTTTTTTTTTTTTTTTGGCTTTTTGAGACAGGGTCTCACTCTGTAGTTGAGACCGACCTGGAACTCACTATGTAGCCCAAGCTGGTTTTGAACTCACAGTGATCCTCCTGCCTCAGCCTCCTGCGTGCTGGGATGACAGGTGTGGGCCACCACGCCCGGCTAGTCAGCTTCATCCTTACTTGCAGTTCGATAGCAATCTGTGTTTAGGTTGGGACTGTGTCTCCAGCACCAAGCGGTTGCTTGGCAGATTGTACATTTGTGTCCTCATAAAGTTTGGCGGGGTAAATATTCTCCTTGTGTGAAAGATGATGCAGTAGTGCTGCTAACATTGCTTTGATTGTTGAGAGGATACTGAGTTTGGTCCACTTTCTCAGGTGGGAGCTCAAGTCATAGTCATTTTTTTCTTCAGCAACTGTCCTGTTGAAGCACCTTGATTTGTGAGCTTCCCTCCATTTTTGTATTCATTCTTGCCTGAACTGAAAAGTAAGATCTGTGTTTCTCTTATTTATAAACTCTACTCAGTGTTTGATTATCTTTTGTCTCTTGTGCCCTAAAGAAAACTATTTTCCGAGATGAGCTGGAAAACACATCAGACGTGCCAGACCTTGCTTTCCTGATTGGCCTCTTCCCTTGCACATGTGTTCATAACCATTTTCTATGCCTTCCTATTGGCAAGCAGATCTCTAAAACCTAGGCTGTGATGAACTGACCTCAGAGTGGCTTCTGGGTTTCTTCTCATCCCCACATCTGCTTGTCTACTAATATGCATCACGTTGAGTGAAAGAATAGGAAAGGCAAGAAACACCAGAAGGACTTTTAGCTTTTTCTGTTCTCTTGGGTTCTTAATGGATTTGTTTGAGGCCTCCATTATAATTGGGCAGTTTAGAATAAGAGCTCATAGAAGCTAGAAGGTATCAGCACCCCTGTCTTGGAAACAGCTTTGCAGCTAGAGAAGGGCTGGAAGAAGGCAGAGACTGAATTAGCGATGACTTTGTCAGTGGGGTGTTCTTTTGGAACAGACCAGGTAGGATTTCTGGTTGCACATCCAGGGGCCTTAAAGAGAAGGCCCCACCCAGGAAACACCCGAATCCTGGGGTCCAGCTTTTCACTTTCTAGGACCTTTCATATTCTTTTCTCTCTCAGAGTCTTAAAAGCTGTTCCTCATCATGCATAGTGCATTTATGAAGTAGTAATTAGCTTTTCCATGTTTTATTAATCCCATCTGTAACTGCCAATCAGAGCTTCTGATCAGCATGAGATAATTGGTGTGACCTACTGAGTTGCTGTAATTCTAGCCCAAAGCAAAGAAAGTTGATGTCTCTGTCAGTCTGTGCGGCCTTATCAGGGCAAATTCCTGTTCAGCCTATTGAAATGCGGGGATAGCTCCAAGAGCCTCATTACTACCTTTGTGGACCCTGGAGGGGCCTCACTTTGGAAAGGATTTCCATCCAGGAGATGGTTCATGTAGGGTTTTTAGGGAGCAAAGGGAAATAATGGACCATATGTGTGTATTCATTATACTTTGTTCAAGAAGCCTGAATGTAGAATTTCTGATCCCAGACATGGCTTTCTTACCTACATGTTCTCAATTAACATAGCACTATAATACTTATATTAGCTGGAATACTTGTTTTCACATTTTTTTTTCTCCTTTGTAATTCTTAGCTTGGTGTAAAAATTGCCAAAGCAATTGCCTGTCACAAGTTTGTAAAAGCCAAAAAGGAGGCCGAAAACTCACAGGCTGCTCGAAAAAAGAAGAAACTCGCATGGGGGTAAGTTTCCTTACGATTTTTAATAGTAATTCTACTGACTTCATAGGAATTTCAGACAGCCTGTTAATACATTTTATGAATCCAGTTTGTAGGTAACTTATTTTACCTTGTATTTTTGTTTAGAAGCTTATAAATAAAGAGCCATTTCTTTATCCTGTTTACTTTATAAGCAGTTGAGTGTGTGGAATTTTTAGGTTTGTTTCGCTTTGGTCACTTAGTAAACATGTACTTTAGCAAAGTTTTAATTTTATTTTAGAAAGAAATTGAGATTTTTATGTTCTTCATTTCAGGTTTGAAGCAAAGAAGAGATGGGAAACCAAAAGCAACATGGGATATATGTAACTGGGCAGAATTCTTCAAGACACATGTAGACTTGTGTGCTTAATTTACAGAAAAGATTTTTCTATTTAGGTCAAATTTGTCAGGAAATCGATAAAAGTAAGAAAAAATAAGCATAAATCTTGGGAGTTGATTATCAGCTCTTTTAAGTTTTATTCTAAGGGGTTCATTCTATTGAAGTGATGGAATGAAGTATTTTGTTATTTATGTAAGAAATCTAAGCATGCATACAAGAAAAGAAGGTAGAATTTTATTTATTTGTATAGACTTAGAGTATAAAGTCAGTTTTACTTTTTATCTGTTTGGTATAGCATAGCCTGTGAGATCCTTATACTCTCTTATCTATTCTTGGCATAACTGTACTTTTTCTGGAATTACGTTTTCAAGATTGGCTTCTGTTTAAAATAGATTAGTCATAAGTGCAAAAAAGTCTCAGTTGATGCTTTCTAAATGACTGTAATTACCTTAATGCTATAAAAACAATTATTGATTCTTTATTGGAAGCAATGGCATTGTCATTTCAGAGTCTCATATAAAAGCAGTAATTTTTGTGTACCTTCACATGAAATGATTACAATGAAAAAGGGACAAAATATAGTCATTGGAGTTTCATTGAAATTGAGCTCTGCCTAGAATATCTTCCTATATCTCCTAGCCATGTCAATCTTTAAATTATGAGATGGTTCTTAGAAAAAAAAGTGGTTTGACTGTACTAGACAGTTATAACCTAAGATAACTGAATCATCTAAGAACTGGTTTGCTTTTATACTCTTTCCAGTTACTCCTTAAAAAATGGAGTGGAATGTTTATTCGTAAAGATAAGAAAAACAGATGAAATGAATTAATGCTCATAAAGAGAGGCATGGTACCACAGGAAGTAGTTTTCATTAGATAAGTGTTTCATTGTGCTAATGGGAAGTTGCTTTGAGAAGTCATACGATAAGCAGGTAAATAGGATCACAGTTGGATACTATGAAAAATGAGTCATTATAATTTATTTTTAGATTTAAAATATTAACATAGTTTTATTATGGGAACATTTAAATTTTTTCTGTGTTCTAGATTAAGTGTATAATTAGTTGCTGTTTAAGAGTCCAGAAGTCATATCTTGCTTCCATTTAATTGAGAAAAGTCAGTGTAGAGAAAGCAAGTATAGGAGATTGTACAGCTCCTAATTTATCATGCAAAGCTACCCAGCCAAATTTTGGAATATTGTATATTTTATGATTTAAAATGGGCTGTCGTGTTCTCTTGCTATTACCATATACTGTCTGCTACTGCATCCCAGCTCAGACTCCTGCTGGTTTACTGCAGACTTACATGTGGGAAGCTCTCCTTTACAAATCCATTGTGGGAAGTATCCATTCTGCAATACTGGCTTTGTTTGAAGTACGAAAATGTTACATTTGAGCATGAGGGTGGTGTAGATATTCTCCTAAGTACAAGTGTTTCCTACCCTGGAGCCTCTGCCTCATTTTCCTTTTTTCCTAGATGCATGTCCTGAGGGCATTATAGCCCCTCCAGGCATATTTCCTTTCTCCTGCTGAGGCCTTGCTGTCCTGGCCGGTTGTAGTGTGTTAGATAGGGAGCTTCTGACCCAATCCCTCTGACCCAAGTCCACCACCTAAGCCCTTCACCTCACTTGGGGCCAACAGTTCATCTTCAGTACCTCACTCAGGGCTCTTGTGTCCTCGGGAACTTTTTAACTGAGTGGAAGGCAGTATGGTGGGACAGATGAGGCAGCCACATCGCCTGAGTTCCTACCTTTTAGGTTGTGTGCAAATCTTCAAAACATACTGGTATAGCCAAAGAGTGGATGGGAGAGAACAATTTGGAGGTGAGGAAGGAAGTGGGTATCTTGGGCTGACCCTGCCAGCACCTTATTAGGGAACCAGTTTACATGATCAGCTTTAGTACAAATTAGACATCTTACTCATTGAAGCAATAAAATGGGAGCTTTATCCCTAGAGTACCATTGTTGACCAAGGAGTCATTGGACTTCTCCATTCTGGTTGCATCGAAATAAGGGTTCTTTTTGGATCAGTAATAACTTCAGTTCCTGAAGCTTCAACATGTGCATTTACCACCAGAATGCTTGAATTAGATTAGTGATGCAAACGTCAGTTATTGTTAACTAAGATTAATATGTTTTAGGCCATTGGCATGGCATTAATGTAACTGTGATTTATTGTTTAAGTACTTTAGGCTAAAACAGCTTACTAAAGAACAGTAATTTTGAGCTTTAGAGCATTGGTTCTGAGATGTAAAGTAGATAGTGCATTCTTATTTAGGAGCCTCGGGATGTTTCTGATTTTCAGCAGAGCAGTCTCTTTCACCAAAAGGAGAGTTTGAATATATAATCTCAGGCTTGCTATAATTAGCTCTGATGACAGAGTCAGCCAAGACTATAAATCAGTTGCTAAACAGGTTTCTGCAACTGATCATAAATCTTAGACTCCATACTTTAAATACTAATTTTGAGGGGCAGACAAATAAGGGAGGGGCTGGCCAAAACCAGAAGCAGAATGTTACCTGAACATTAGGTTTACACTTAAAACCTCACATTTAAAATCTACTGATTGCTTTTATGTCTTTTGTCTAAAATGTTATCTTTTAAATATTTTAATAACTGAGTTTCCTTTTTTGGGGGGTATCAGGGATTGAACTTGGGTCCTTGCACTTGCAAGGCAAGCCACCGAACCGCTGAGCTAAATCCCCGGCCCAATAACTGAGTTTCTTAACTGATGAAATGTAAATCTAATTTATAAAGTATACAACTTGAAAAGTGCCTAAGTTATCATTTGTTAGTTAAGGATTAATACTACTTTTTTTAGAAATAACGTGTCTTACTATAAATATTGTATAAGGCCGATGTTTAAATAAGCCAATTATGCATTATTTTTTAAAGCGATAAAAGTGTGGGGAAACAAGCTGGTGTTCTGACAGGTTTCATTTTGGAAAACCAACTAGTAAAACCTAGTCATCAAATTCAGAACCAGCTGAGACAATTCAAGTTTTTCTGTGCTGGGAGAAGTTGCTTTTATTAGTATCTGGCAGGGTTACAGATGCTTTGCATGTCAATTTAATATTTTTTCAAGCCAACTGTTTATTCATTGGCTTAAAATTTACACTCTACTAAAGTCTTAGCTCTGACTTTCATGAAACAAATAGTAATATTTGGACAAAATATATACATGGAAATCTTTTTCCAAAACCAAATGTAGATTGGCATTTCTGGCATCAGTGCCTTCTAACCTGGTGATACATCTGAAAGTGCTTTGCAAAGTCCAAGGCTTTAGAAACTCATAGCATTGTGCTTTAATTTTTTTTTAAATGGTACTGAAGCTTGAACCTAGGGTCAAATGCACACTAGATAAGTGCTATCCACAGAGCTACATTCTCAGTACTTTTTTTTTTTTTTTTTTTTTTTTTTTTTTTTTTTTTTTTTTTTTTTTTTTTTTTTTTTTTTTTTTTTTTTAACTTCAGTTTAAGAGAATCCAGGCTGTTTTCAAATCCAGGGTGTCTTGGCTTTCTGAGTAGTTGGAATTACAGGTCAGTACCACCATGCCTGACTTCAAGTACTTTTATTATGAAGTAATCAGAACATCTTTCTAGGTTCTCACACTTAAATTAGTGAGAGTAAAATATGTGTTATAGTAAGTTCCTGTGAACTACTGAGAGACTTTTCATCAGTATTGAGGCATTGAGACTCATTTTCCATTTTTGAGGCTGAGGTACTCTGTAAATTTGATAAAATGAGCAGAACTACATTCTTTAGTAGTCATTTTATTTTTCCTCTACACTACCCACCTTGAAAGGGAAAAGGTGTACACACATTTCTTGGTGTCACAGCTGTGAGCAGCACATACTTGACTGGGGAAAGGATTCTTGACTGGTAAAGAGTAAAGAACGGGATATCATGGGTGTTGGAATGAAATGCACTGCCTCTTCTGTAACACCTCTTTCTCTGGTGAGATTCTGGCGGGAAGTTGTGCACACTTGCCCAAGATGTCTTCAGATGCAGCGGTGCCATCCGAGCCACTTATGCCACTCTGGCTTAAGGGATTTTGATCCCTGGAACACAACTACAGGCTTTGTTGGGGCAGTTTATGAAATGCTGTGCTGTATACTGTGTTTTTAGATCTGCTTGTAAAATCAAGACGTAGCTAAGGCATGATGCATAATTATATTTAATAATTATATTTTTATTAGTATTAGTAATGCCTTTTTTAATTCAAGTAGGAAAAAATGTAAAAATTTTCCAATCGAGAGGGCTTTTTTATTTGTTTTTTGGCTAGAGTCTTTCTGTGTAGCCCAGGCTGGCCTCCAACTCAGTATGTCCCTGCCTCAGCCGCCCAAGTGCACCCGGTCACCACTTTTGGCTAACGTGGCATTTTTAAGAAATTTATGTTTAGTACTGTAGATGCCTTTTATGTCCAGATCAGATTACTTAAGGGAATACCTAGGATTGAAAGGGGAAGGGAGGGCAGTGTCCGAGAGACGTTTTGGCTGCTAAGTGCTTCTGTGCCAGGCTTCCCTGGTTGGCACCACTCTAGCAGCTGCAGCCTGGGTCCATGGGTTGCCTCTTGCTGAATGGCTGCAGGGGGCTGCTCTGTGACAGGTATGGAATGAGGTAATCCTCCCACCTCTTATTTCTGAAGGGTGTGTCTGTCCAGTTATTACTTGTTCATTGAACCTAGAGCTTTAGAAATGAATGGCTATGGTACAAGCTGTAATTATTGATGTCTGTTTCATATTCTGTAAGTTCTGGCATTTGATCAAGAAGTTAATATAGCACTTCATCTTCAGGCTGAATGTGTCTCACCTATCAAAGTTTTATTGTTTGATGGATAGCATACAATTATGACTGCTCAGAAAAAAAGTGTTTTCATTTGTGAGGTGAGTGATACTAGAAGAAGTAATTATGGATGTCACAAGAAATAGTGAAACAGTGAAGCTTTGAATTTCTCCCCACATACTCTCTGGGAAACATTTACTGAACACATACATATCAGATATTGACCTAGCTGGTACACAAAGATGGGAAAGCATATTTAATGGGAAGTACATGTAAACCAGTATAATGTAAATCAGTGACTTTCCTTTGGTGAACACAAACTAACCTAACCAGGGCATATACAGGATACTGAATTTCTTAACTGGGCAGTTAGCTGCTACCATCCAGCCTTAGTGACTGATCCCAACTTCTGCCCATTTTCTGTGCTCTCCAGAGGTGGGTCTAGCGGACGCAGTATGACTCAGGAGTGAGTGTCACCATTTGTTCTGTACATGACTTAGTAATTTAATGTGTAAAGGTTTTCTTACTGGGTCAGTGTGTCCTTTACGTTAGAAAGGTTGATATCATGTTGCCTGCCCATATTGGGGAGATGCCTCCCAAAAAACAGTGACGCAAGCGCAGTCGAAGTTTATTCTTGACACAAAGGGTAATCCAACACCAGCGGCCTCTGTTCCATCCAGTCACTCAGACTCAGGCTGATAGTGACTCTGCGCCTCATTTTCCTGTCATTCCTGGGCACTGCCACACAGTCAAGTGGAAGGGAAAAGAGCCATCATGGAAGTTACGGCTCGAGTGGGAAGTGGGACTTGCTACTCCTCGCTTTGCACTGGTGAGAATTTCATTACCTCACCACACCTAACTGCAAGGAGGCTGAGAATGTAGACCAGCTGTTCCCAGGAAGGAGAGGAAGTACACTTTAGTAAATAACCAGTAGTGTCTGCCACGTTGCCTCAGTCACACATGATGTTGAAGCATGAAATCTGAAGTTTGCTGATGATAAGTAGCATAAACTGCTTTATGTGGCTCGGTGTAGTCATTTTCACTTAGATGTGTTGACAGAGCTGAGTCAGAGAAGCCACTCATCTTACCAAGCAGTGAGTGTGGTGTCGAATGTAGGGAGTGCCGAAGTGGATTTATGTGCTCAGTGGTGAGGCGGAGGTGACACTTAGAGCAAGTCAGATGGGACTGTTGGGACTGCACCAGGCAGACAGGAAGAGCTCCCTGCCAGGAGCAGGTGACACACTTGAGGTGCAGCAAGAAATTTAGCACAGTGGAGTGAGAGGCGTTGGAGCTGCAGGTCTGGCTGCAACCGACTCAGCCGTGAGTCTGTTGGGGAGTCTGATTGTGTGTGGTGACAGCTGGGTGCCTGTGCGTGGTGAAGAAGGTGGTAGGAGAACAGGTTTTTGATTATTAGGAAATGTCACATTTCTAGTTCAGTCTTAGCAAAAGGCATTTTGTAATGTAGGTTGTATTTAGACTGTCAGGTACTTGGGGAATGTCCTAGAAGTGTCATGGAGACAGCTCTGTACCACCTGATGGTCAGAAGAGCGGTTGGTTGCAGAAGACAGGTCAGGAGAGAGGTTTTCACAGGTGGGCTGTCAAGCCAAGTGGATGAGGGAGAGGTGGCTGTTAGTGTCAGCATCAGGTGGCATGGGGAATGTGGCCAAATCAGACATTCAAGCCAGCATCACAGCAGATGGTGTCTTAGGCGGGTTTCTGAGAAAAAGTGCCTGAGATCTCTTGCAAGTATGTAGGTATGTGTGTATTTATGGTGCCAGGGATCAAACTTGGGACCTTGCACTAGTAAGGCAAGGCAGCAGAAGCACTGAGCTAAATCCCCAGCTCTTACAAGTTACTTATAAACAGGCTCTTCGGGAAAGAGAGCAAAGCCAAAAGGAAGGCAAGCGGCTGAGCAGGGTGAAGCCACTATGTGGGGGAAGGCACTGTGAATCCTGCTTATGACAAGAGAACCCACCTTTGCTAATAAGCTTTTTCAGTGCATGCACCTGTGTGTACTGTGCCCCAGGCAAGACATCCTACTCATTCTTACTGGGCTGAGACCTAGTCCAGGGAGATCTAGTTAGAGTAGTATGTGGCATTGAGCTTGAAGTCAGAAGGGTGTTTTTTGTTTTTGTTGGTGCTGGGGATCAAACTTGGGACTTTGCGCTTGGGAGGCAGGCGGCAGCACCACTGAGCTAGATCCCCAGCCCTGAAGTCAAAAGGGTTTGAACTCTCCACATTCTACTGGTTATTATGATAAAACGAGAAGGGCTAGATGGAAACTGGCTGGATTTGAAATCACAAGTACTGTGACTATTGATTTCAAGAATAAATTAAACTATTTGAGACTCGCCTTAAATCCCCTTACTCCTTTAGGTTTTACTTGACGTTCATCATGGATATCACATCCTCAAAACCGTCACATAGATTTCCGACCCCAGACACACCTGAGTCTAAGCAGGCCCATCTGGTTCTGTTTTGCCTTGTTTCAGGCCTCTTCAGGCAGCTGTCGTGCATCTGGCCTTGTGCAGACCAGCAGGCCAGCATTTATATGGGATGGATGGATGGACGGATGGATGGACAGACAGACACACTTAAGAATCTTTCCATTCAAACTATTTGAAGTGTTGATATCTTTAATCTTCATTACAGATTGAGAACATAGGCTTGGAAATATTCAGCTGAAAATGTTTTAAACGCTTTATGCTCCAAACTAAATGAGACACATTACTTGTACAGATACCCTATAAATGTCTAGCATTTCAGAAACCTTAACTTCTTTCTTTACTGTTTCCATACATTGCTCTTGGACCATCCTTCTAAGGAAGCCAAACATACATTAAATTT